TTTTTTTTTAAACACGGAAGATCTAGAGAGTTAACGCGCTCTGACTAATAACACTCGTGCAAGTGGAAGAAAACAGACACTCTAGATCACATAATTCAATAGAGAATTTAGAAATTATATTAAGAACATGTGAGAATAAATCTGTTCTCAGATACCAAAGATAACAAGAACTCAGCATCCACTCTCTTCTCTCTACCGGGATACTCTTATTCGGTGTTTGTTTACACTGGTTTTCGAAACAGCGCCACCGCTCTCACCTTTTTGTGCAACAGCAGCTGCTCTGGGAACGTGATCTAAGCTCAAATCTGATTGGACGGCCCGTTTCATCGTGGAGCGACGGGGAAAAAATCGACACACAGGACGAAAAAAAAATCCTCGCTTTTTCGCACCGCGAATGATCGCGCCTAGTGTGAATAGCCCCATAGGGATCTATTGTTTCGATTCAAAAGCGTCATCGCGCCGAATTTTCGCTTTTAAGCCCCGTTCACACTGCCAGAGACTTTTTCGCTGTGTGTCGCTAGACTCTGTGCTGTGAAGACGCTTGTGGGCGTTCCTACTGCTGTCGCTCTAATGTTATTGGTAGACTGCACGTCTGGACATATCTGGACATATAAAATGCAATCACAAACAGTATATTGCCGGTAAAACTAAGATATCATTCTATTATGACTAGGAATTAGACTTAAAAGAAATAAAAGTACCATTCTGCTGTTGGAGAGTGTTATGTAAACTACAGCAGTGCTCGTGCTTTAAATCATTAACCGGTGCTAAACTGCTCACTGCATCATGTAATTAACAACTCGAACCATCAATGTATGAATCAAACTCACTTAGACAGCCAACAGTTTCTTTTCTACACATAATTTTTATATCCATGTATGTGGTTACAGTAAAATCATATAAAACAGTGAAATCGCTCAGGAAATCTGTCCTGTCTTGCCTGCACTCGAGACGGTGACGTGCGAGCGCCACTGACAGATTCTTCACTCCTATTGGTTGTCACTCGCGAAATTCGCTGTTCATTTGCATAAAGTTAAACAACTCTTAACTTTTGTCGCTTGACTGGCATCGCTTGACACGCCCACATTCTGTCGCCAACGGTCACTGTCGCTCGTGTCGCCGGAAGTCGCCAGCTTTCCATTGAAAATGAATGGGAGCATGTCGCTTTGTCGCTGTGTGTCGCTGGCAGTGTGAACGGGGCTTCAGTGTGAAAAGCCCTTAAGACTGGTTTTGTGGTCCAGGGTCACAAATCTGACTTTTTTTCCCCTCACAATTCTGAGTTTGTGTCTTACAATTTGGACTCATAATTGTGATAATTGTGATAATCATAAAAGTCATAATTGTGAGATGTAAACTTGGGATTACAAGAAAAAACTCTGAATTGTGAGTCACAATTACCTTTTTTATTTCTTGACAAAAATGGGCATCCATGCAAATGTGTCTGGTAGATTAATGAATGTTTTTTTAATGAGTATTTAACAGGTTTTGCATGTTCTTTAAACGTGCATGTTTGTGTTTATATATTAAAATGTCTCATTGTATTTCGCAAATCTGTTGCATGTTACTTCACATCTGATTTGATCCATTAATAACCTGCTAGAACATAGTGTTAAAAGAGCTCATCGGATGAAAATCTGACTTTTTCCGTGTTTAAGTGCTATAATTGAGTGTTTCTGAGTTGGCATCTACCAACTCAGAAAACGTGAAAAAGAAGAACCCAGTAAGTTTGGTTTTGTAAACCTTTCATTGCAAGCATGTGAGAAAACGAGCCGATCAGATTGCTCTCCCCCTCTGATGTAGGAAGGGGTTCTTATTATAATATTACCGCCCATTAATCTGCACGTTTCCACCCACGGCGCTCAGCCGCCATTGTTGTTTTCGCAAGCGACAGCGGTGTACTTGTTCTGACGCCATGGCAAAAGTTTGCGGAAAACATGCTAAATGTTCTGTAGTTGGCTGCACAGACGAACACAAATCATTATTTAGAGTCCCAGCCTCAGAGGAGACAAGAGAGGAGTGGATTTATTTTATTTTTAGTGGAAATCCCGGAAGGGGACTGGGGTGAACAGTAACTCATTATCATTTAAAGAGGCATACACCAAAACGGGTTAGTGTGAGCAGAGCTGTTTTTGACGAGGCAAAAAGGGTGTTGTTTACACAGCCATTGAGTGTTTTTAAGCAAAATATGTTACAGACATTTCATGAAGACCCTACTAAATCATGCCAACTTGTGGAAAATGTTCATCCGATGAGCCCTTTAAGACATGCGGGGAATTTCCAACAGTGTGTCCTAACCAGACCCAATAAGATAAGATTTCAGCAACAAATAATTTGTCTGTCCACTCCAGATGTGACATGGTTACACGATGCAACAAAATCAACCACAAATCACAGCCAATCAGAAGAGCATGTGGGCAGGCTCGTACTTGCAGTGAAATGAGTACATGATTAAATTCATAAAAATAAAAATCCATTTTAACATTATTCAATATACATACTTAGTGACACAGAGATTACAGTTAGAACGTTCTTGTTTCCCAAGATTTGAGCTAATTATCCATTGTCGCTTTCATTATGGTTATTAAAAAGTTACACACATTGATAATCAAAATAAAATTAAACCCTTGTTAGATTATAGAAAGCACGTAATCGATACCTGTGATTGTCTGGTGAGGAGTGTTAGGCCACGTACACACTGAAATATTTTTTCTAATAAAGTGACACTGGAATTTTTCAGCTGTTGCTGTTTAACAGCCTACGTTCTGTAAATACACTTCTTGTTTCATTTCAAGTCAGACATGACTCAAAGTAATGACTTAAGGTTAAGTTACTGCTAACTCTTTGAGTAATTCTATAGAACGGGCGTATAAGAATCAGACTAATCATTTGTTTGGTTTCATCTCATAACATTTAATTCAGACTGAAAGCGTTAAAAGTATAATTTATTAGATTTTGTGGTGGAGAAAACACTACCTTGGACCTTATTTATCTGTAGTGTGTACATGGCCTTAGTGAAGTTCCCTTTTCAAAAAAAATTGCTTATTACTGCTGTTTTGAGGTCAGTGGTAATTCTGCCCTCTCTAAATTTAATACTCCCTAATTTCTGTATTAACACATTTTCCTCCTTCCCCATCCAGCATGAGTCATTTGTCTCACATCAGCTAAAAGAAGTTAGCCAATTCTCCCAGAAATAGCTTGTGTCTGAGATTATTTGTTCATCCCTTTAGTCTCAGACGCTCCTCCACCGCCGCCTCCTGCAGAAGAGGTGGAGTTTGAGGAAGCAACCCCGCCCCCACCTCCTCCAGAGGACTATGAGGATGAGGAGGGTGAGGATGAGGAAGAGTCAGCGGTGGTGGAGTACAGTGACCCCTACGCTGAAGAAGACCC